TTGAGAAAGGCAAATCACTCTAGGAAGGGTGGACTAGAATAGTTGAGTTCAACGAACCAGGATAAAAATAATTGTGTTTTAATTCTAAGGTTTAATCTTTCATACTTATTCAACCCCCCTTATAAGTATTATCTCACCTTCAGTAACTACTATAACCATATTAGAGAATTTACAACAACCTCTATTCATGTTAACCATGCATAAAGAGCATAAAAAACAACTAACATTGTGCATCAAAAGCTAAAATTAATATTTACATCAAACACAATATGTTTAAGTCAAAAGTAATATTCACATCATCAATATAGAAAATAATTCATTAGCACATCTCAATAAATCAAGCAGCAGGACCCTTAAGCATATTGTGGATATACGCCCAACATTTACGAAGATCTACAAAGTCCTCAACGGGGAATGAGGTTTCGTCGTTAAATATCTACATAAGAAAGAGCAAAAAATTGAATATCATGTATGATAATAATTCAATAGTCAACTTATATATTAATATATGTTAATATTTTATGACATATATACCCTATCCCATGAATCAACAATGCCGATAAAAACAATGTTTAACATGTGTTTCATGACATAATACCCACACTCGTAAGTCCCGGGTTGTCTTCTCGTCTACAAATTTAAGCAATAATTACATGAACGTAAATGAAAGAAACAGGTAACCGGGCCACTCACTTTAGGAAAGATACATGAGGGCTTTCTTCTAACATTGTTCATCATATTCATTTGCTCCACAACACTGTACATTAAAAATGAATTAAACATATTACATGATAAAATAATTACAATGTCAAAGAAAATGAATTAAACATACACTTACGAATTAATAATCCTTTCATTTTCTTTTCGAGTGGATCACTCAAGGAACATAGTACAGTTACTGTATTCGTCTTAAATAATATGATGATCAATTGTCAATGACCACTGAATAAACACGAGCATATATATTGTTAGTATTTGCTAAAACAAAACTAAATATAGAATACATAAACATCAATTATAAAAATATTTACGAACAGACAAATGGTGCTAAGTAACATTCTTTTCCTCCCTCATTTAACTATTTTTTCAAGTAGTCTTGAATGTCTTTTGGTTTATTAAACACCCATCGAATAAAAAATGGATCCAAGATTCCATAAATACTCAATTTATTTAATTCTATACAAACACGGTGAATGCACCTAAATGGTTAAAGAAAATGAATAAATTAAGGGAGGAAATACAAAAAAAATGATAATGTTCTATAATGACATATATGTATATTCAACTATATACTCACGTGCACCAAACTTGCAATATCCCTACGTCCGCCTACTTATATCCACCAAGAAAATCCCTTACATCATCAGAACTGTAATAGAATAACTCCAAACATAGACAATGTTCTAGCGGGAGAGGTTGTGTATCATTTATCATCGCAACATTCAAGTATAGTGTGGTGATTTCATTTTCTTTAGGATCCATTATCTCATTGCGGGTATCTGGAGGGGGAGGGGCTGAACAATTACTTCCTTTTATAGAAGCACGATGTACAACACTTCTACTTGGAGTTTTATCATCATCATCATCACAATCAACATAATGGTGATCTTCATTTGTACGTTGTTCGAAGTTTTTACTTAATCTCTACATCATAATATTCAATTAGAACATAAAATAAAAATAAGCACAATATATATCATACATTTCCGATAAAACACTGACATCTCAAGTAAGGCACATACCGAATATAACTCTTAAAACCTTTCCATATCTTTCTCCCATTTTCCCTCTCCTATTCTAACGTCCTCCTTTGTTCTTCTAATTGCTTCTCAACATTCTCAATCTTTTGTCTTTGTGCATTAAATTCCTGGTGTTCGGTACTTTTCCTTTGAGATCCAAAGGATGACCTCAACCAGACACCTTCTCCAACACCACGGACACGCCCACCATACTCATTTTTTCCGATAGCTTCTACTAATATGTCATGTCGTGCTTCTGGAATACTTGTGCCTTCACGGGCTGCCTCAACCAACTTATCCTATACAACACGAGCAACTTACATATATTGCTACCAACACATTTACATAACAAATAACATAAGCAAAAAAATCATACTTACAATTTTCTCAGCAACTACTCTTGACGCCTTAGAGGTGTACTCTCCATTTGATCTTAATCGAGCCATCTTCCATTTCTCATGTCTTGACGGTGGAGATGGGATGTGATCATCTCCTATTTCTAGTTGTTTTTTAAGCATGATTCTTTTCTCAAGTTTCTTGTAACCCCCACGAGACAACCTATGGGGGTACATGTTCTTTGCCTTGTTTTTTATTCCTACTTCGCTTTTAACCTGTTATTAACATAGTGAAAAAAATATGATTAGTATCTATAACTCATTAGCATAACATTATCGGTTACATAAGACAAGTACTAACCTTGAATTCCTCAGAACGACGTATCTTCGTAAACTTGTTTCATTGCTTCTTCGATATAAAACTATATCAAATCCATGGACGAGCAAGACCGCTTTTAGGCTTCCTAATGTAGTCAGCCGTGAGTTGTGACTTAAATCCCCTCCAACGAGTACTGGCATAAGATATCCACTTTTTTTTTCAACTTTGAGTCATCGATAAATTCAAAATTCAACTATATTTAAATCAATATATAAGTATGTATTAGAAATTATAGATTGTGATATCGAATATATGAAAATTATAGTATGTAATACCTTAACGTCTATCCATATGCTTTCTTTGACTTTATCATCCACTTGGGTTTACTTAGCAATTATCATTTGTTTCGGTTTTATTTGTTTTGAGGCATGATAGCTCATTTCAAGAGGTTTGGTTCAAGTTCACATTCAAGAGGTTGGAATACAAGACACACCTTATAATTCAAGGATCAAGTTTCATTATAAACTTTCAAAGTCTCATTACAAAAGAGACATAATCAAATTTTACAAGAAAAAAAATCACATTTGGTCTAAGTTGACTTTTGGTCAACTATTGATTTTTTTGGTCAAACTGTTGGCCAAAGTCAAACTAAAATTCTAATTCTACTTTTCTTTGATTCTGAAAGTCCTTCCACTTTTTACTCCAAGCTTTCTTCAATTCCTATCATAATGCACGTTCATGATATCTTCACAATCAAGACTTGTACCAAGATCCTCATTGTCAAGTCTTAATTTCTCTTCTTCACCATGCCACATCAAATCTAGGACAACTCTGCAAAATGGGGACAAATTCAGCATAATTAATTCAATTCAACCCAACATACACGCACAAGCCGTGAGCTACAGATCACAAGTTGCAAAAATGAGAAACAAGTCATAAGCAACTACCAAGCCATGAAAAACAAGCTGCAATACAGAGAAATTACACCAGCCATGCTACACGAGCCACAAGACACTACGGCACACCAACACGAAGCCACAACTCAGCCAAGCCATGAAATAAGAAGCTATAAAGCACAGACTGCATACAAGCCATAATTTCAAGTTGCAACACGAAATGCAACAATGTCAGCTACAAAGGAACTGCAATAACAATGCTATTCAGGTCACACAAATCGTTATACAAGGCAAGTACACAAGTTATACCGAGAAAGCAACACACAAAACTATCAAACCACAATGCAAATTACAAACACATTCACATTGTGACCTTGTATTAAACTGACGGCAACAACATTCCACATGAAAAACTCTTAGCTAGAAATTCAATAACATTTCAAACTCAACTAACCTCAGATTAAACTCACATAACAGAATGAGCATAAGAAAGTTACAGACTACCCTAATAGATGACATCCATTTCGGTTCTAATTCACTAACTGTTTTTATCTCACCTCATTTCAACCACCATACATTCACTCTATCTATTGGTTTTACTTGTTCAAATTCCAAGCAATAATTGGAAGGATATCAGATAGCAACTTAACAGAGTACTCAATGATTCAAACAACCATTTAACAGAAATTAACTAACTCAATCTCATGATAGTTACATGCTAACTGTCATAACCAAAACTCCAAACAGCTCTAACTAACCTCAATCTCACCTTTCATTTTGTAACTAATTTCTTAGATCCAGGGGCTGACAATTCATCCTCCATAACCAAGTTTAACAGAAGTTCCACAAAAAAAAAAAAAAAAGAATAGTAACATAACAGGATTTTCACGCTACACAACTACAACTAACTTCCTTTTTTTTTTGTTAATCATTTTTCCACAAGTTAACCAATCTAACTAATTTTTAACTTAAGGATCTGTTTGGATTGATGGAAAGGGATGGAATGGAGTGGAGTGGAGTTATGTTCCATTGTTTGGATTTACAAAAATTGAATGGAATGGAATAGAGTATGTTTGGATAATTTAAAAATAACGGAGCGGGGCGGAATGGAACTGAATAGGATGGAGTGGAATGGAACGGAACGGAATATAAACTGCATTCCCCTGTTTGGATATTTTACAACGGAGCGGAACTAATATCTTATTCCACTATTTGGGAATTGGATGGAGCGGAAAGCATTATAACTTTTTTATTCTATTTTTACCCTTTGCTACAATATTGATAGATCCAACATTCTCACACTAAAATAATATATAAGTAATCATAGAAAAATATCAACTTAACACTTGAAAGAAATTAAAACATATAGTAATAAATTAAAATGTTCATAAATGAAACATGGTTATTATAACTTGAAATTGCAATGATCAAGTGCACAAGTTTTGATCAACACCATACTGGGTATTCATAGTAGTTCATAAACAAAATCAAGTTTTACTAAAATTAAATGATAAATATATGTCTATAGTAGATAATGATATCAAGTCTTGCTAATAAAAAAGGCAAATATTGATCCATAATAGGTAATGACTCTCTTCTTTAAACATTTCACAAAACCGACAAAAATAAAATAAAATAAGTTACGCAAATATTTCATTCGTTAAAGATAAAAAAAAATACTCAAAAGTTATAAATAAATATGTTACTATTATCAAAAGGCATAGTCTGGAACAATGAGATGTAACATTTCCTTCCGCTTATTGATTGGAATTCCATTAAAAGCTTTCAATGCATCGGCATTCTTAACAAGGTACATGTATACAAGAGACAAAGAACTTGGTTCAACCCCAATCTCGATCAATTCAGCCCAAATATCTCCGCCATTAGCATGTTTACTCTGTTTGACCAGCTCCATGGAATTCATTTCAAACACATCAACCATTTTTTTTTGAAAGTTTTGGAAATCTCAATCATGCCTGTATCATCTTCAATAACCTTCTTTACTCGCTTCTTAGTCCTAGATGGTGATACATCTTGAGAATTGGTAATAGAAGGCCTTGTAGGAGAATTGTTGGAATGATGTTCATCATCATCAAATCCCTCCAAAATAACTTCATTGGTTTCAACTAAGTGGTCTATTTCTTCGATGGTTATGCCATGACTTTTTTCAACATTTGCAGTCTTTTTTGCTCTCATTTCAGCAACTGTACCTTCATGCTCTCTTGTTGCTCGATCTTTTCTAAAAAAATTTGGCCAGTTTATCATAAAATAATATTGGCTTGTTTTTCCATTCAGCAGCTTCGGGTTTTGCCTACACCAAAATAAACGAAACAATGCATCACTTAAAAAGTTTTTAATGAGTCAACTCAAATAAAAATAATCGGGTAAGTGCATAAAACAATTATAGTAAATAATACCTCAATTAGCTTGTTCCAAACTTCATCTTCAGCAATCCACATATTTGTTGTTGAATCCCATCCAAACCCACTCAAGCCATTCTAGAAAAGGTCATAACAAGAATTGAACTTTGTTTTGATGTGTTTCATGTGATTTTTTATTTTTTATTTGGAGATTGGTTTGTCCGAAAAGTGAGTCTTCAATTCTTTAAGAATGTTATCCATAGTGCTTGTTGTCATACTATTACCATTTTTATTTCCCAATGTTTGTTGATGCAAATATGCATCAAGCAAAACTTCATCCATAGCAGTTGTCCAATTGCATGTTTCTAGACTTTTGAGTTTCCTCAACCTCTTTAAACTTGCTTTCATGTCTATTATTAAAAAACACAATGAAGAATATAATAACTTATGCACAAATTCAAATGTAAAGGTTCATCATAAACTAAAATTCATTCCACAAATTACAAATAAAAAATTTAATCCAAATAAAATTCTTCAAAACATTATTCATAAGAGTAACAAATCATTAAGAATAATTTTAATAATCTAGTCACATAGAACCAACAACATTATCTCTAATTGGCTCTCCGCTAATCATATCATTGTTTTCTTCTCTATGATCTGGATGAACCTCTTGAACATCTCTTTCGTTTGCAAGCTCATCTTGCACCTCATCAATTAGAGTTTAATTGGGGTCTTCACCCATCAAATAGTTGTGTAAAATGCAACAAGCAAAGATGATTTTATTTTGAGTTTTAATACCAAGTGTAGGCTCTGTTGCAGTTTGTAAAATTGAAAATATTTTCTTCAACACTCCAAATGCACATTCAATAGACATTCGTAATGACGAATGTCGATGGTTGAATAATTCACGAGGGTTTCGAGGTAGATTTTTAGATTATTCTTGTAAGTGGTATCATTCTCCCCTATAAGGTGTAATGAGACATGCTTTTAAAGGAAATCCCGCATCACCCAGATAATATTTTCCTAAAAAAAATAATGAGCCCATTAGTTTAGTTGATCTAAATACTTATACAAATATTTTTTATTACTTTTTATTACCTTGTGGAACTTTAAGAGGGTGTGCACGTGCCAATGCACTCTTAATTATTCTTGAGTCAGAAGCAGTTCCTTCCCATCCAACCAAGACATGTGTAAATTTCAAGTCAAATGAGCACGCAGCTAACGCATTTTGTGTGGGATAATCTTTTCTACCACAATATCTAGGTGCAAGTTCTATTGGAACTTTAACACGCACATGCGTGCAATCAATTGCTCCAATACATTTCTTGTAACAGCCCAAATTTCGTTAATTAATTATTAATGTTAATTAATTTAAGTAATTGACTTATTTTAATTATTGGATTTATTTGGTAGAGAATTTGTGAGAAGAGAAATGGGAAGGAAAGAAAATAAGGAATTATATAAGGAAAGTGGAAGAGAAAAGAAAAGATAGTAAGATAAAGGAAATAGAAGAGAAAGAATAGAGAAAGAGGAGAAAAGAGAAGAGAAGAGGGAAACTTGGAGAAATCATCAAGAATCAACACCAAACTCCAATCCGATCAAGGTAAGAGTGAGAAACATTATTATCTAATCAATGTATGTGGTTATGTATGCGTGGGCTGGGTTTTGTCGTGAGTTTCCACCATTTTTCAAGCTAGGGCAAAATGGATTTAATTGGTAGAATCGTAGTTTAATCGGTTAGAAACTGAAAATAATGTTGTAGAATAGTCGGGTGACGTGGGATTATGATTACTGGAACTGGTTCGGTGAGAATCGGTCGATTTTGGATGGTAGGAGTTTTTGAGACATAATGGGGTTTTCTGGTTTCGCAGGTTCGCTGGCTCTCGCCAGGTGAGTGGAGGCGAAGCTTCGGCCGGCGAAGCCCAGCGGATAGCTGGCGAATAATTCCATAAAAACTCCCAGTGGTCTTCGCTGGTAGGTTCGCTAGGCGAAGGTGGGTGGCGAAGGTTCTCCAGGCGAGTACTTTAGCGAAGGGTAGCGAAGCAAGTCAGTAGCTACTGACTTTGTTCGCTGGCGAGTTCGTCAGGCGAAGGTCCCAGCGAGCATTCGCCAATGGCTTCGCCAGGCGAAGGGTGGCGAGCAGGACAATATTATTTCTTTTCTGTTTTATCCATCCAATGATTAATTGCTTGGTTCAATTATGTTAACCCTATGTGATATGAATAAGCTTGTGTACTATTGTGGTGAGCTGTGGGTAGCCTTTGGGCGTGAATCCTAGATTGTGATATGTGTATTGTTTGAATTGCTTAGGAATACATGAGAGCGTGAATCCTAGATTGTGATATGTGTATTGTTTGAATTGCTTAGGAATACATGAGAACGTATTAGTGAAAATGTGTGTATTGTCTAACAAGTATGTGAATGCATATTGTTGTATGCTAATGTATGTAATGCTTGGGAATATATCGTGGATATGTGCGCATTGTTTTGATGAATGTGATGATGGTATTGAACATGAATGCCTTGAATTGTTATGAATATGTTGTGTGTGCAATCATATTGTAATTCTTGAAGGGATGAATTATTTGAATGCATGGGATTAAGATGCGGGAACGGTCTTAAGTGCATTTTTGTTGGTTGATTGCATATGCATCATTTAGTCAAGAGGCAATGTTTGCTAGTTTCGTGGAGACTAGTGGCTTGTCCCAAACCTAGAAGGGTGGGTTTGAAGCCTAGGGGACGGGCTTTGTTGTTATCGGTCTAGAAGGGTGGACCCGGTTTAAGTGTAAAAACCGAAAAATGATAACAAGTGTTGGTACCACATTGCATTGAGTTGTGATTGAGTCACATAGCATAAATGTCATTGATATATGAAATATGCTTGTGAGTGAATGTATATTGGATAATTGTGAATTGTGCATGATGAAATATGTTATATGAATATCCATATTTGTTCATATGTATGATGAGATGTATATGACCATGAAAACGAATTGTGGTGAGAAATGCGGATTATATGTAATTGTTACTTGTATATATATATATATATATATATATATATATATATATATATATATATATATATATATATATATATATATATATATATATATATATATATATATATATATATATATATATATATATATATATATATATATATATATATATATATATATATATATATATATATATATATATATATATATATATATATATATATATATAATCTTATGCATTGATTATTATGGTAATATTTCTCACCCTTCTTCTGTTTTATAATGCTCTATGAGGCATTGCAGATTAGGTTGCTGGAGGTTTCTTTTGTGAAGTATAACTTCATTCTTTTGAGTCGGACTGCTCTGATAATGTAACACCGGATAGTTAGGCTTGTATAGCATTCTTTTGTGATACACTTGTGATGTATCAGTTGATGATGTTTTTTTAACATAAATGATATTGATGAACCAACTGGACAACATGTATTTATGTGATTAAATGTTTTGAGGTAATTCAAATGTTTTATCTTCCGCTTTAATTCCAAATATCGAGATGTGGATTTAAGGACTAAGTTCCTCTACTTTGAAAACTATCCCACTGTTGCATATTTTTATAGAGCAGGTGTTGAGTGTTTTATTGGTAATAATGTGACATACTTCTTTTATACCGTATTTTAAATTATACTCTGATAAAATTTATATGTGCCTATATATATTATTGTTTATTTGGGGGTATAGAAGGGGGTGTTACAGTCCTGACATTAAATTTATATATTAAAAGTGTACAAGAAAACTAATCAATATTTTTATAAGATAAAAAATTTGTTTACCTTAAAATACGGGTAGAATCTATGGTTGTTAAGTATTTACGGAGGCACTTGTGTTCCATCAGGTTGTTTTAAAATTTTTCCCTCCACCTCTATCAAAGCATTTAGCACTCTATGAAAATGGCGACTAACAGTTTCACCGAAGCGTCTAAAAAAGGACATCACACGGTTTCTAACATTATGTCCTACTATATGAAGAAATTTTGCTACTTGTTATTCGATAGACGCTCTTCGTGTATGTGTAAGTCCACCTTGATCTTGTAATAAGGTGCATAAGTTTAAGAAAGCTTTGGGACACATACGAATGATATCATAACATCGCTCACTTCCTACAATATGTTTCATCGCTCATTTCTAACTTTCTCTCTTTGCTCTGTGATTCTATAAGGTATTTGGGATCTTCTACGCTTGTTTTTTAGCGAACATATTAGAACAATAATGATAGATACTTGAAGAATCATCATTTGTACCAGTTTCATATACTTGATTCTTATGTCTTCGTTAGTCATCTATAACAAATTAAACATTAAAATTTAATCTAATTAAAAATCCATATACAAATAAATCAAATTAAAATATTTATAACAAATAAAATAAATCATATCAGAATCAGAACAAATAGATTAAGAATTTTTAAAACAAATCAAATATATAATTTCAATCCCAAATTAATTAAAAATCTTTATAGCAAATCAAAACTTATGTTACTAATAATTATTTTCCTATTATACTACATAATATTATTAGCCAATT